AGAAAGTAGGTGAACTAGGTCTGCATAGATACTGTGTCTAACTCCTGATCCAGTTGGCCACGAGGTCTCCGAAGTATAATGCAACCAGAGTTCGAGAGTTGTGATTTGGGATTTTACACCCTCTATTATTGTATTATTCTCACCGCCCTTACCCTCAACCTGATCAACCGCAGCAAGCATCACATCAGAGTCCATTAGGTCACAAAACATAGGATACGCCAGTAGGGTGCTTCGGTTGAGATTTGCTACCCGTTCTTAGCATACCGGAAACCGCTCCTGTGCGAACAAACGTTTCAACTAGTGTACGTTGAGGAAGCACTGCTCAGTTATTTCACCAGACAGGGCTATTTCCCGCTCGAAAAGTTGAATACCCGGTCAATAACCACATCGATGAAGCACTGGAGTCGGAAATGAATAAAAATTATGATTTCAAATCCACAGATCGCACCCACACATTACTCGATCTGGCAGTACGAACCGTCTTCGTTGCTTATCTTGGAGAATTCAAAAATAAATCGTCCGCTGGTCAAGGATTGAGATTCAAGATGGCGGGGCGATCTGTGCAAGCCACAATCCCTTAAAGGTCGGCGTCCGGCTCAAAAGCTCATACGCTTTTCGGACTGGATCAAACGTCCAAAGTGCTCCATAAACTTGGATGCCCAATCAAGCTCCTGACCAAGTTGAAAACACATTCAGAGGCGAGCAGTTCTTTTCATTGATTAATAGTCTAGCTTGTACAGATCAAATAAGCAAATGGTATGTTGAACGAAGATGGACATTCAGTCATTCAAAAATCACAGCGATTGCTTGACAGGCAGAGGACTGAGTGGGTGGGGTGAATGGTGCGATGTGTTTCACGCCCCTAGGTCATCACAAGACTGCAATCAGGTTGTGATGCGTCATTCATGTGATCGATCTTCGGCCACGTCAGTTGAATGGCATGGGCCAATCTCTTTTGTGCACATAGATTGTGTTTGAACCAACGAATGTCGATCGCTTCCGCAGTGGCTAGGGCGTGGAGACTCAGCGGCTTGGACGGGCGAGGTGGTATTGGATACATAACTTTTAAGACTGATTCAGGCCCGAGTCTGCTAGATGAGCGATGGTAACGTCATCAATTATCACCACGGAGGAAGTATGTTCGAATACCGGCACCACCGCCTGTCTTCCCCCATTATGCGTATCGTATGGCGGCCTTTTGATTGGCCGCTTCGCCCTTCCTGAAACGTTGTATCTGCG